CTGTATAAGGACAGGCACACACACACCTGTTCCTCCATGAAGGGCCCTAAGTAGTCACAGGCCCAGACCCATGCCCAAACCAAGAGATGGATCTAACATAGTCTTAAACCTGCACACAAAGGCAGGCAGGACCCACAGCACAGGGTGGGTTCACCTGTATAAGAATAAGTCCTGGGCCCAGACAGTGTGGCTCAGTGGTTGAGCATCAACCTATGATCCTGGAGACTGTGGTTCGATGCTTGCTCAGGGCACATGCCAGGGTTGTGGGCTCGATCCACAGCAGGACGCGTGCAGGAGGCAGCAGATCAATGACTCTCATCATTGATGTTTCTATCTCTCTCTCCCTCTCCTTTCCTCTCTCTGAAATCAATTAAAAAAAACCCAAACAAAATGAAATAAATAAGCATTAAAAAAAAAAAGTCCTCGGACAAAGACTTGTTCCTAGATATCCCCATCACACAGTCTTTTTCCACACAGTACCACCCCCCAAATGGATTGTGAGCTCCTTGAAGTAAGGACAGGCCCTCACCCCCAAAGCCAGTACTTTGCACACAACAGATGGTTGCTAAAAGTTTGATGAATTAAAGACATCTGCACACACCTGGGGAATGAACACATACAAACATGCACATAGGCACACACACATATCTGCTCACCTCCATGCCCTGGAACCTCCCAACATGGGTCCCCTCCCTCTACCCTTCACCTCCACCCTGCCCTGGCCCATTTGGCCTTCCTGTCTGAGGCAACCTCCTCCCAGCCCACACCCCCAACTTCCTCCCCTTCCCCCCACCGAGGTAACAGCGGGACCCACCCACTCCCTCAGGCCTCTAGACCAGGAATGCCCCAGCTGCCAGTCCTGCCCTCTTGTCTAGACCCCCTGGGCCCCTCGCTCTGGCCATATGGATCCCCCATCTCCCTGACACAGGACCTGGCTAGGGTCCCAGTGGTGGAGGCTAAGTGCTGACAAAGCAGCTCCAGCTGCTCAGGTGCAGTGGTGACTCCGGAAGCAAAACATTTGCCCAGGCCTGAGGGGCGTGTGGGTGTGTGGACGTGGCAAGGGGCCCATGACTGGGCCACGGGCAGAGCAGAGCCATGGCCTGAGCCCACTGGACAATCTCTCCTTCCTATCCCTCCTGTCCCCTCCCATTCGAGGGCACCAGGCTGGGCTGCATGGGAAGGCAGGCTCTGGCTTGTCCCTGCTGCCTGCGCCCTGTGCCCTCCCAGCTGAGTCAGTGTCCAAGCCCAAGGGAGCCCTCTCCCCTGCTGCCCCACCCTCACCTGGGAGCCTGGGTTCCTGCATGTCTGCATCAGGCGTGTTGTATATAGCCTGTGTGAGGGCCTGCATGCCCTGCGTTAACACTAGTTCCTGCACACCTACTGTGTTCAAGGTATTGGATGTTGCAAATGCAATTTGGGCCCTTCTGTGGCTGGTGTGAGCCCACAGTGATGTCTCCGTTGAGCTGTGCTGTTTTGACAGTCGGTCCAGCAGGCATGCCTGCGTACTGAGGATCTATGAGCCTGTATATTTTGCCGGCATGAATGTCATATCACTGCCTGTGTGTCATGTCACAGTGTGATGCTGACTGGGTGACTGTTGTCTCTGTGATGTGCTCAGTGACTTTCTGGGTGACAGTGTTGTGTGGTGTGTGCACTGTGTATTTCCTACTGTACTGTAAGTGTAACTGAGCTGTGTGCTGTGGTATGTATTCTGGTACCCCAAGGGCCACCAGGGGGGTGTGTGTGTGTGTGTGTGTGTGTGTGTGTGTGTGTGTGTGTGTAGAGGTGAGAGGACATTTTGCAAAAATGACCCTGTTCTTGTCTTGCAGGTCTTCCTGGGGCTGGGCTGTGGGCACCTGAGCCCAGAGTCCCCAGCAGCACAGGCTTTCCTATAGTCCCCTTTCCTTCCAGAGGCAGAATCAAGTGTCTGGTCCTCTCTGCTCTGTTTCAACACTATGGGACAGACCCATTGGTCAATACAACGGTCTATCCATCTGTCTGGCTGTTCCAGTCCCAGACACACTCCCGCCTCCCCCACCCAAGGTCCCAGAGTTCGCTCAGGATACCAGGTGGCAGTGCCTGCCCCTTGGGACACTAGCAGGGGACCCTTGTCCTGAGGTATGTTACCTGTAGGGATCCAGTATGGATCCTTCGTAGGGTGGCCCCAGCTCCCCTGGCAGCCGAGTTTCAGGGACCAGGAGAAGAGCAGTGAGGGACTAAGGCTGACTCAACCCGCGGCTCAGCTCGCTCAGCAGAGTAGCTGCCCCACTAGAAGGAGGAAACACCTTCTCAGGAGGGCCTGATGCAAAACCGGGCCTGGATTCTGGTTCCCAGGCATGCGCCTAGCCTCTGCTTTCAGAAAACCCAGAGCCGATTTGCTGGGCCCCAGAGGCCTGGGACTTGGCTCCAGCTCCACTACCGACTTACTCTGTAACTCCTGTCACCCCTTGGCCTTGGCTGCCCCATCTGTGGAATGGGTAGCAGCCCCAATCTGTCCTCTGAGGAGCTGATGGGAATTTGCTTTGAAAGCAAAGTTAGAAACCTTTCTAAGAACCAGGGTAATGGAAGGATTGCAGACTGCAGTTAGACAACCCTGAGCAGAGTTTCTGCTCTCCACTATGATTTTGAGCAAGTCTCTTCACCATTCTGACCTGCAACTTCCTTCAATGCAAACTGTGGGCAGCGGAGTGCGAAGAGCGTATTTAAGGGAAATAAAAGTGCCTGGTACAAGCTGGCATAGAATGGGTACCAGCTGTTCCCTCTCCAACAAAGTCCCTTTTGACAACCACTGCCCCTCCATGTCCACGTATGCCTCCTGGGAAGTGCTGGTCACTAGGGGGTGTGTGTGTGTGTGTAGAGGTGAGGGGACCCTCTGTGCCTGAGGAATCCCTTTGAGCACCCCATTCTCCCAGATTCTGCCCCACCCTGAGAATGCTTTGGGCCCTAGATTGCATTTGCTTTAAGACCATGGACCAAGGCCACACAAAAGCTTCAGGATCCCCAGAAGTCTGCTTCATTCTACTCTGCCTGTCCTGCTGTGTTCCCCTTTTTGGTATGGATTAAAGATCAGAGGGTACCTCCCAGACCCCCAAGAGAGGAGATGGGACAGGGAGAGGACTCTAAATGACACCCCACTCCTTTCCTTCCTCATCAGAACTGGCTCCAGTAATGTCATCACCATTCTGAGCACCTGAGGGTCCCTCAGCTACCTCAGCCCAAGGTCCAGCCTTCCCCATTTATTTTTTTGCAAGTCAATCTTATTTTCTGACTTTTTACTTATCTGTTAAATGGGGGTAATCCCTTTTCAGATGGTTTTCACAATTCAATGCGATCCCTGCAGGCCCTTCATAAATATACATATGCACATGACTGTCCTTAGAACCTTACTACAGACTCTGCTCCCTGTCCCTTCAGCACCCCTAGCCATCTGTGCTCCCTCATTCTCCACTGCAGAATGCTTTCCCACCTGCTGTCACCCGCTGGGGGCTCAATGCCTGTGCACTGTGGCCAGTTTCTAGGCAACTTTAAATTGTAAAGAAGCCCCAGATCTGGGTTAAAATTTCCTGGAGGGCCACATGGCCCCCCATGGCTTTGGATCAATAATCTTTGGAAGCCCCACTCTCTCCCTTTTTAGAACAGGGAAAACAGCAGCCATCTCACAGGACTATCTTACAAGTTTCCTTTTTCTGATCTCCAGCATCCATTCTCTCTTGTGATACTGCCCCAGTCCTTTGGAGAAACAGCCCCTCTCCACTTTCCCTCCTTGTGCTCCAGTGAGGCCATCTCACAGGGTGGTTCCGAGTGGGGGCTCCAGAGCAAAGCTGCTGGGTTTGAACATCGTTCTATTTTTCCTATCTCTGTGACCTTGAGCAAATCAGTTTACTTCTCTGTGCTTCTTTCTTTATTGGTAAAATAGGGATGATACACTTACCTCAAAAGGACTTTATGACAAGGCCTGGCACATAGTAAATACTCAGTAATAATTGTTGGGTGATTCTCACAGCACCTGTTTATGTCCTGTCTCTGCAAGGTGAACTGAAAATTCTGCTAGGCAGAAGCAGGTTTTAAAACTTTTTTCTATCTGTTTTGCTGTGGTTTTCCTCTGTACTGGAATTCCCCCTGCCTCCAACCAGCTCTGATGGACCCCGATATGCAAGAAAGATTTTTGAAAATGGAATGTTTCTGAAGTGGGGAGGGGGAAACTTGTCCTGGAGAAACTTCAGGCTTGGAGACCACAGCACTGCAGGGTCTGGGATGAGCTGATGGCTGACCCAGGGCTCTGAGGGCGAGCAGCAGGAGCTGTCCTCAAGGCCATACTCAGAATGAACCCGAAGGGCTCAAGATTTGGAGACCAAATCCTGTGCTAGTTCAACTAAGTGACGCGTGACCAAGGGCAAGGTTAGGAAAGACCACCTCAAGAAAGTGACTTAGTTTTCAGCTGGGCTTTGGGAAGAAAGGCCATGATTTCAGCAGGTGGGAAGCACAGGACTGGAGGTAGGCAGGCGCTGGAGAGCAGGGTGTGTGGACAGTGGACAATGCGGGGCTCTGAAGGCCACAGAGAAGGGGAGGCTTGCTGGAGCAGGACAGTGACTGGATCACTGGGGTCAGTACAAGGAACTTGGCAATATGACTGATGATGAATATGGCCGGAGTCAGGGGCTAGGGCTCTCTTGGCCTATCCCAACTGTAGACCCCTGGGCTGTGGTTTGCTCAGCCCCAACTGTCAAGTTCCTCCCAACAGGGAGTATGGAAGGAATTTCAACATTCATTTACCTTGAAGAGAAAGCTTTGGAATGGTAGGTGAGGAATGGTGGGAACTCCCAGACCTGGGCCCAGGGCAGGATATACTTGAAGGATGCTCTGCCCCTATAAGCCAGGCACTGGGTAAAGACTTAACCAGACCCCTTGCCAGGGGAAGAGGTACCCAAGGACACCAAGGAGATATAAGTTGAAGAGGTGAAGGGACCAATGAAGGGAGAAAACAAGGACAAGGCACTTTCTGGAGTTAAAACTCTTTATTGTCCCATCCAGGGAGCCCCACACATAGGAATCCACGGGGCAGAGGTTAGGGGGCAGCACAGGCCCTTCACACAATAGAAGAGGGAGCCAAGGTAGGTGGGAGGAAACCACTCCCCTTCAGCTCCCTGATGGCTCTGGCTGCTCTATGGCCCCCACATCTTGGACCCAAGGGGTGCCATCACCAGCATGAGGTCCACACCTGGGGCCAGGGCCAGGCTTTGTTTCTACTGTTCTGATGAACAGGATGTCACTCTGGACACATCAGTGTCACTCATTTCTCCAGCCTGACTAGGGGAGCCCAGGCCCTGAATTGCAGGGGGAGATGGGCCCAAGTGCTTGGAGGCCCTGGGAGAATGGGAAGAGGGGGTGCATGGTCTGGAGGGCCCCAGGAGATGGGGCATAAACTACCCCTAGTGCAACTTCTGGCCAAAGGAGGGCCCATCCAGCCCAACTGGATCATTCTAGAGGCCAGTGGTGAGGGCCCCAGAGCAGCTTAGTTTATTGGGACTTCCTAGTGTACCCCGCCCACCCCAGGATCAGAGCCTGGCAGGAGAACAGGCTCCAAATCCAGCTCTGGCCCTGTCTGGTGGGTACAAATGGCCTCCCTTCCCCCACCAGGCACCAAACTGAGGCAGTGGAAGCCCAGCAGGCAGCACAGGAGCAGCTCTACAGAGAAAAGCTAAAGCCTTTCCAACAGATGAACAGAGAGGGTGCTTCAAGCACGGGGCTCACCAGCCTGGGAAGAAGGGTCAGGGAACTTCTGAGTGACCAGGGAGACACAACAGGCAACTAACTACACACCCCAACCCCTGCTCATCCTCAGCCCTATGCCATCCCACCTAGCCCAGACCCCTGGGTCAAAACCAGCAGCAGGCTCATCCCTGCTTTTTGGGGTGAGGAGAAAGAATCTGGAACTGAAAGGAGTGGCGGGTCCAGGGCCACGAGGCAGCCATCACCGAAGGTTAAACACCAGGCTGGTGGTTAAGATGATGACCAGGAGGATGACGAAGGGTAGCCAGGTCTTCACGAAGGCCCCGACGCTAATGGGGGAGAGGGGAGCATGGGTGGAAGGGCCTGGTGAGTGAGCATGCCACCCAGAGCCCCCTCCATCCAAACCCAGGAGGCGCTCCTGTCCCTGAGGAAGCTCCTGGAACCACACCTTCACTCTCTAATTTGGTCACTGGGCTGGGCATGGTGCCCACTATGGAGCACTGCCAACGATAGTCCTGGGCAGGAGCTAGTCCAGGTGGAGATGTGACACCTCTCTGGGTGGGTTACAGAAGATGTGCCCACCTTCTCTAGGCCTTATTGGCTCCATCTACAATCACCCCAGTCTCTGGGGAGAGGTCTCCAATGAGAGGACCAGGAACTTGTCTGGGCATGAAAACCAGGAGCATTATCTGCCCACAGCTCTCATAATGGGGCCCCCGGGGAGGGGAGGAGTCAGCAAGCGTTAGCATTGTTGTGGCTGGAGTCAGGGCTCTGGGTACAACTCCTGCTCTGTTTCAGTGTGTGTGACCACAGTTATAGACTTCTTCTCAGGGGACCTCTAAAAGCCTTTGGACTATAAAAAGGCTCGAGAGCCTCCTTTTCAGACGCTCTTAATGATGAGGGCAGTTAGAGTAAAGCCTGGCTGCCTAGGTGCGTGCTGGCTCCAAGTGGACAGGTCATTCAACCTCTCTGAGTTGCCTGTACCTGTGAATTGGGACTAATACCTTTGACCCTACAGGTCATGAGGCTGTGGCTTCCAAGGTCCTCCCAGGCTACCACCGGGGCCCACCTGCCCAGACCCTGCCTCAGATGATGGATGCTGGGAAGGGACCATGTGGGGCAGTTACCCATTCTCCTATGAATGTTTACCTGTTCACTTGACCCGCACACAGGGTTCTGTGCACTCACAGCCTCCCTGAGGAGCCAGAATCTTTTATCTCCATTTTACCAAGAACAGCTGCAGCTGAGAGGCCAAGGCAGTTACCCAAGATCTCACAGTGAGCAAGTGACAGAGCTGAGCTTGATACCCAGGTGGAGCTGACCTTCAGCACAGCCACCTCCCTCTCCACCAGGAACTCAGCTAGTTGTTCTAGAACCTTCAACATCTCCAACCAACATCTGCTTTGTTAGCTGCAGGACTCCAGAAATGGCCCTGCTGGGATCCTTGGGAGAGCAGCCCCAGGGGACAGTGGGGGGCGGGTAGCTCACCTGACATATTTTCCATAGAGTAGGCAGAAGAAGCAGAGTGTTACCATGTTCCAGTTGGTGCTGTTGTTGTAGCGCATCAGGTTCAGGGCCAACGCCACGTGTGAATGGCAGTTGTCACAGCAGAGGTTGTGCTGGAGATGCAGGAAGGCGGGGTCAGGCCGGGCTAGGGGGAAGCTCCCATCCTGGTTCCCACCCTCAGGAGTGGCTCGCCTACCATGCGGTGCTTGTATTCCTCAGAGGCATCATGCACAGCTGTGTCCCACGCATTGGGCCCGCTAGCGTATACCCGAGCAGGATCCAACTTCCAGTACCTGAGGGGAGAGGGAGGCTCTGGGCACTGGCTCAGCTCGACCAGTGTTCCCTGATGCCCACTCTGTGCAGGGCCCTGAGCTGGGTGCTGAAATTGCAGGGGTAAGCCAGGTCCAGGGAAGGAAGAGTCAGTTCCAGGTCCGTGTAACAGTGTGATGTGCCCAATGCCACGTGGATCCTGGGGACGACATGAATTCAGCTGGGGGTGTGAGAGGCTTCCTGGGGTGACAGTGAGCCCAGCCTGAGGAAGAGGAGTCAGCCAAGCACAGAGCAGGGATTGGGTATTCTAGGCAGAGGGGACAGCGGAAACAGGGGAAGAACAGGGTGACGAGATGCTGGACGGTGAGGCTGGAGATATAGCAGAGCCATGTTGTAGAGGACTTGAATGTCACTCTGAGGAGTTTATCCATCAGAAAGCATTCTCCCCCGTCTCCCCACATGGGAGGTTAGGGTGAGTGGGAGAGCAGCTGGTGAAGCTAAAGCTCATAAGCCTCAAGCTGGGTGAGACCCCCGAGGGGGTACTGGGGGGTCAGTGCCCCCTCCGGCTGTGAGTGGAATGGCTGGGCACAGAAACCTAGAGTAGCAATTTTCAAAGGTCTGCCCCAAGACACTTTTTTTTTTTTTAATCCTCACCCGAGGATATCTTTCCCATTGCTTTTCGGGGGAGGGGAGAAACAGCCACGTGAGAGACACATCTACTGGTTGACTCCTGCACTTGCCCTGACTGGAGCCAGGGATCAAGCTTGCAACCGAGGTATGTGTCCCTGGCCGGAATTGAACCCGGGACCCTTCAGTCTGTGGACCGATGCTTTAACCACTGAGCCAAACCAGCTGGGGCGCCCCAAGAATTTTTAAAACATGCAATACCTGACTATTTAGTGAGGGCACTGACTTCTTTTCCATTAGATTGTCAAAGAAAAACAAATCACAGTCAACACAACAGCTGTCCGGTGTGAATTAATCAGATCGGCAAAAAATATGTTTTTTGGTGTGCTGCAGAATTTCAGTAATTAGTTTATGTGTGCCAGGAGATGAAAAAGGTTGAAAATCGCTGGCTTAGAGACAGGGGACCAGTGAGAAAGCAACATGGCCTGGGCAGGGGCTGCTCAAGGGTTCCTGCCCAGAAATGGATGCCAGGAGCCTCAAACAGCAGCCTGGCAGCAGACACCCAGCTCAGAAGCCCTAGGCCCACATTTTCACCTGCCTGAGGAAGCCAGCAGGCTGCCTCTGCTGCGTGGGACACCAACTCCTCCCTGGGCCCCGGCTTCTTCTGAATGCAGCCTCTGGCAACAGGGCACCTGATGCTGTTCTGAGCATACAGATGACAGAGGCATTGTAACCAGAACCACATTTGAGATGGGCCCTCCAAGAGAGAAAAAAATTAAAGCAAACTAGCAATAGCTCCCGGAGGACTTGAACTGCTTTAATTCTTGCCAACCAGAACTTTCCAGAGGAGTCCAAACAATGCCTCCCCTACACTTTAAATGGAGTGTTTGCTCCTTCAGAGGCAGGAGAAAGAGTCTAGGTTTTGGAGTAAGACAGACCTGGGTATGAGTCCCAGCTCTGCCACTTCCTGTGTGATCTTGACCAAGTCTCTTCCCTTTCCTCACCCTTCCAATGGAGCTGAAAACATGACTTGAAGAGCTGAGGCAAGGCCTAGCTGGCCTGTGGATAAAGGACCCAGCCAGGAGGAACCTGGTCGTAGGACCAGTCACATGGGTGTTCATCACTTACTTGGCAGGCTTCCCAAAGGCCATGTTGTCTTCCTGTTGAGAGACAAGAGGAGAGGTCAGTGGGGAACCCGCATCCAGCCCAGGAGATAGACCTGGGTTGGTGGGGGAAGCGCAGTGACTTAGGAGGTGCTGGGTGGGCAGCAATGGGGCCTGTGCCTTGCTCTGGGGCTGGTTCAGTATGTGAAGTGCCAGTAGCAGCATGTTTGTGGGAAGAAGGCAGCAGGGTAGGAGTGTACAGAGCACTGTACACCAAGACAAGGACTCTGGGTGCCAGCCACACTGCCCCTGGGTGTGGCTCCAAGTTAATTCTCTCACTCTCTCTGGGCCTCACTTTCTCCAAGTTCTCTGGTCAATTTCTGATTTTTGATCACAGAGAGGCAGTTTCCTTTGTGGTATGAATGAGGACACCCTCTGACCTCCTGACCCAATAGCAGTGCCCGTACAGAGAGCCCTTCTCTGCATCTGCAAGTCTGATTGCATTCAGAGCAGGACACGGAAGGGGGTGGGGCTAGAGGGGCCTTCAATGAGGGAGGCATTTCAGCCAACTCCTAGACCTACCATATAAGATGCGTGGTATGGGAGTGATGCAGGGTCAGATTCTGGGTTCAGAATCTGCTGACAGCTGGCCAAAGATGAATTACCATAAAAGTATATGACAGTGAAAGCAATGGATATGAAAGCCCTTTCTGTGTTAAGATGATCATGACAACTATTAACATAAACAGGTTGAAGCCACCATATACTTTTACTTCAGCCTTTGATGAAGCTGCAATCTCAAAATAGACAGGATGCTGCCTACGTATTTGGAACAAGCCCACTACACCCATCTTGGCACATCCCCCCCAAAAGACCTGAGAACATAGCTGATTCATTATAGAAGGTCCACCCCCTCTTCTCCATGGCCATACCCAGGGAATCATGTCAGCCTCCCCTGTGCCCCCACCTTGTGACTCCCACCTTCTGAAGGTCCAGAGATGTGGTTCCTGGATGATCTGACTCTCCATTCTTGCCTCTAACCCCTACCCGTGTCTCAGTACCCAAGGGGTGGGCAAAGGGCTGGGTCAGTTACTTAAGAATCCTTCTGGCCACACTGCCCTTCTGGCCTGTCCTGGAGGCAAGAGAAGGGGTAAAGGGGTCACTGGTGAGGAGCAGAGGACCAGGGCCGGGGCTATGTGCTACCTGCATTCTCTTGGGTCTTGGGGAGACAGGAAGCTGTCTGTGGGCAAGAGAGGCCAACCTTCCACTTAAGCCTTGAAACCCTCCAGAGGGGAGAAGGGGGACTCACCGAGACAAAGTAGGGGCCAGCAAAGTCCCGAATGACTCCTGTGGATGTACAGATGCCCATGTGGCCAATGATGGGGAAGAACCACCTGCGAGAAAAGGACAGGGAAGGAGCTGAGCTTAGAGGGTCTTTTAGCTGGTTAGACAGACGCCAGGGACACTAAATCCAGTGTGAGAGCATGTGACTGTAACACTATGTGATGTATGCCAGAGGGTGGCTGGAGGGGCCAGGGAAGCACAGAAGAGGGGCAGGTGCACATGAACAGGACAGCGGGATACCGCCCCACCCCCACAGAACGGCTATGACGAAAGGATGATAATGTCGAGTGGGTGAGGATGGGGAGCAGCTGGATGCTCATTCACCGCCGGCAGGAGTTACCCATTCCCATCTCTGCCAGTGAGAGGCGGGCAGTAACGATATCACTTCAACGAAGGGCTACTGTGAGGATTAAATAGGGACATACTTTGTGAAGTGCTTAGCACACTTCCTTGCACTTGGTAGTTGCTCAATGTTGTTATCATGATGTGTTCAATAAATACTTGCTATCTGATTGGCTGCACTGGCATAGAGTAAGCTGCTGAAGACCCATAGTGGCCATAGGATGGACACTCAGAATTATGTGAGACCCTAACCTCAGGCCCCTCCTTCCCCTCAATTCCTTTCATCTAGTTAGGGAGAGGGTCTGGGACCAGTATTCCACATACCACAGCTGTGCCAGCATCTGCTGATGGAAATTAAGAGTGAAGGCTGGAGACAACAGATCCCTGTACCCAGGGAAGCCCCAAAGAAGAAACTCTCAAAAGTATTTGTCAGTCCGGAAGCTTCATGAAGGCAAGCTCCACAGCTGCTTTCTATGCAGATCTAGTACATACTAGGTCCTCAATAACTATTTATCGAATGAATGAATGAATGAGTTACTGATGCTGGAGCTTCCATCTGGGAAGATAGAATATCTCAATGAAAAAAGCCCCATGGTGGCTTCTAAGCCTTTATTTCCTCATCTATAAAATGGGATGACAGTATCTATTTTCATTAGGTTGATGTAAGGACTGAATGAGGGTGAGCATAAAATGTTTGGCCTAGAACAGAGTAAGTATCCAATCTTAGTTGTTTTTATTAGTAATAGTAGCTATTATCTGACTTTTCATGCAGAATTATCAACATCTCTGAGGGGGTGGACACATCTTTGGATTCAGCTGCCTCCTCTCTGATCCCTCATCCAAAGACAGATGACAGTTCCTTGTGCCACATCTATTCCTAGTTCTGTGCTCTAGACCAGCAATCATCACAAGGTATGAGGATGGTAGTTCTGCTGGAGGGTGTCTTTCTATGGGAACATGAGCCCTTTGATGAGGCACTCTGGTATATTCATCTTGGTCTTATGAACACTGTACACAGATCTGAATAGAAATGGGGTGTGAATTGTTCTTGGTCCAGATGACTGGGGATTATGGTGCCTCTACCTCATGTTGCTATCAGCTCTTTAAAGAGCAGAGGACTCCACAAATGTGTTTTTGAGAACAGAGAAAAACCAAAGAGATCTTAGGATAACAAGACAGGTTTTAGCAAAACAAATACATTCCCTGTCCCTTCCAGTTATTCATTCTTCCATTAACATTTTATTTTCTGAGTTCTCTTATAAGTTTACTTGTTTACTATCTCCTTCCACTATGATTTAAACACTATGAAAGCCCTGGCTGGTGTGTCTCAGTTGGTTGGAGCCTTGTCTTGTATACCAAAAGATGGCAGTTCGATTCCTGGTCAGGGCATGTATAGGAGGCAACCAATCAATGTTTCTTTCTCAATAAAAAACAAAACAAAACAGTGAGGCCGGCGTGGCTCAGCAGCTGAGCATCGACCTATGATCCAGGAGATTGAGGTTCAATTCTGCGTCAGGGCACATGCTGGGTTGTGGGCTCCATCCCTAGCAGGGGACGTGCAGGAGGCAACCGATCAATGACNTTATAAGTTTACTTGTTTACTATCTCCTTCCACTATGATTTAAACACTATGAAAGCCCTGGCTGGTGTGTCTCAGTTGGTTGGAGCCTTGTCTTGTATACCAAAAGATGGCAGTTCGATTCCTGGTCAGGGCATGTATAGGAGGCAACCAATCAATGTTTCTTTCTCAATAAAAAACAAAACAAAACAGTGAGGCCGGCGTGGCTCAGCAGCTGAGCATCGACCTATGATCCAGGAGATTGAGGTTCAATTCTGCGTCAGGGCACATGCTGGGTTGTGGGCTCCATCCCTAGCAGGGGACGTACAGGAGGCAACCGATCAATGACCCTCTCTCATCATTGATGTTTCTATCTCTCTCCCTCCCTCTCCCTTCCTCTCTCTGAAATCAATAAAGATATACTTAAAAACAAAAACACAACAACATATCAGATGAGGATTTAAAAAATTTTTAAAAAGAGGAAACGCAAAACAATTTAAGTATTTTTACATAAGACAAAAATTAAGGTCATTTTAGGATCGGCAACATATAAGGTAAAAATGATCCTTTTCCCAAACCAGTTAGCTATTCTTGATAAAGGAAACAAGTCTATCCCATCAGGTGAGAGAGGATAGGATGTAGTCAAAAGAGAGCAAGTTATGGAGTCAGAAGACTGAGTTTGGGATACCTTTGCTTAGTGGGGTGTGAACTTGATCAAGGCATTTAATGATACAAAGAGCTCAGCTTCATCATCTGAGAAGGTAATGCCTACCTTAGAAAGTGGCTGCAAAATTCAGAGAAAATGGGTGAGAAAGAGCTTGGGCAACTGTCCAACACTGTGAGGAGTGGTTATTATCGGTGTCAAGGCTGAAGCAGGAAGGCAAAACCAGCTCCCCCCAACTAGGAGCTTCTTGCTAAAAGGCAGTAGCATTACCTGCTTTCTCTCCTGACAAAAGCTAATGACACAGAAAGAACCTCTGTCTGGGAGGGAAACACGCTTTGCAACTGAGATGGTGTGTAATCTCCAGTCTCATCTGTAAGACAAAGAGTTGGACTCCCGGATCTCTGGGGACCCTAACAATGTTGACAACTCAGGAGCCAGTACGATCCCAGCAAACTCCTCCAGACTGGGCAGGTTATCTTGCGTACAGGAAGTGATCAGCAAGCATTTGCTCAAGAAATGAATAAACCATTGAATGAATGAAGATGTCTTCTCAGACCATGTTAGGGGCCCCTCTTGTGTACGAGCTTCCCGGCCACAGAACCTTTCCCACTGGTCTACAACTGTCTTTCTCCCTGACTACACGGGTGCAATGAGGGCGGGGAGCACGTCCCATCGTCAGCAGAAACTGGCACCGCGCCGGGCAAGGCCTATTGGCCTGACCCAAGGGACGGGCTTGCTGTGGACTGAGGCCGGAGGCTGGCCCAGGGCGGCCCGAGGACTCCGAGCGGACCGAGGCTCTCCAACTCCCACAAGTGGATAATGGAGGAAACTCACGTGAGCACCGGGATGGGCGTCCACACCACGCAGTAGGGGAAGCGGCTCCGCTCCACATCCATGGCGACGCCGCCAGAGCCGCTAAACTGTTTCTTGTCCGTCTCGGCCGCCGTCGGCTCCTCCACTTCCGCCATTCCAGGCGGGGGTGACCGAGGCGACAGGAGAGGCGAAACCCCTTCCGCTTCCGCCATGCTGCGCGCGCCCCGCTCCGGCCGGCCCCCGCTCGGTCGCTGCTCTCCGCGTGGCGTCACTTCCTGGAACTGGGGTCCGCCCAGCTTGGCCTTCCCTCCGGGAATTGGAGTCGCATCCCTTGGGGCCGGGGTGCCTGGCCCCCTTGCCCTCGGCGCCCGCCAGCCCCCGGGTTTGCGCCTGCAGTGAACGGCAGCGGCAGGGATGCCCGCAGGCAGCGCGCAGTCTGGCGCCCCAGACCGACCCAGAACTCTAATCAGTAAGCTGACGGCTGGCTCCTAAAAGATGTGATACAGTCGCTATGTATTGAGCACTTCTTAGGTGCCAAGCACTCGCCATATATTGTTTTTAATCCCCATAAATTGGTTAGACACGCGAATTTAGGTATTTCCCCCAGGTTACAAGTGAGCAATTAAGGCTCAAGGGGTGAGGTGAGTGGCCACGACTCAAACCCAGGTCTGTGTCTCCTTTGTCCATTTCATTCCCTGATCTCTCACGAGGCAGTGGTAGCATAAAGGACAGACTAAAATATTGTGTGTGGCGAAACAGGGAAGACTTGCCTAAAGATATTTGAGCTGGGTCTTGATATTTGCCAGATGGCACAGAGGTGGAGGGTGGGGGTGGAGGGGTTCGTGCAGCGGTGCAAAGAACGGCATTGCAGAGCTCAACATGTAGGAATGAGAATATCGCTTTGGCTGGAGTAAACCCTGAGCTTTAGATGCCATCCGATCCCTTCATTGTACAAATGGGAAAACCGAAGCTCAGGGAAGTTACGTAATTGTCTGAGATCACACACAAACATATGAAGAAACTAGTCTCAAATCTTGGATTCTTTGGGTTTTTTAAATGATGCCAAGATAGACAAAAAAAAATCTGCTGGGTAACAAGAAGGAAAACAGGAACTAAAAACCAGGCCAGAGGGCTATATGGACAAGTCTACCTAGGAAGGTGGGAGTTACGCCTTTTGGGGAAGGTCTTTCTTCCATTAAATACCTCCCTCAATGCTGATCTACATAAAGGCTGCTGTCCTGTTTTTTAACACCTAATATTTTAATGCATTTTGAGGGATATGTCTGTCTCTTTTACGGAACTGTAAGGTCCTTGATTTCAGTAGCTAGCATAGTTCCTAGTGCAGAGCAGATGCCCACTAGATGTTTATTGATTTATTGAATGATTGAATGGATGTTTTATAAAGGCCTCATAGATATCACAGATGAAAATGATTCTAACTCACTCAAAATTCTTTGAGTATGTTTGTGCCTCTACTGTGACCCATGTGTGGTGTGTGATCCTTGAAGGGCAGCAACCAGCATCTACCACCAGGTTTGGAATAGATTAGGTGTCCAGTATGTGTTGGTCGAATGAATAAATTACATGACTTCTCAATTCAGTCACTATAGCTATCTAATTTCTTCTGAATCACAGGCTCTGAGGAAGGTCTGTGGCTTAGACATTCCTCTACCATTACTGTCAACACATAATTCTAGCCCTTTAAGTACTTATTGTGTGTATGGATGAATAACCACCTGTCTTTCTTAGGGCCTGCCACAAATTGGGTAGCACTAACACAAGTACTGAATTTAATCTGACAACCTTCAGTGGCTTCCTATAGCTCTTCAGATAAATACAATATCTTACCATGGTTTACAAGGCCCTGCATCTGGATATGCCCTTTTCTTTTCATGTTTTTATTCATTTTTGAGAGAGAGAGAGAGAGAGAGAGAGGGAGGAACATCAATGATGATCAGCTGCCTCCTGCATGCCCCCTACGGGGGATTGAGCCCACAACCTGGGCATGTGCCCTAACCTGGAATCAAACCATCAACCTGTTGGTGCACAGGATCCTGCTCAACCAACTGAGCTACACTGGCCAGGGCTGGGCATGCCCTTTTCTTATTAGTTCACTATACTATAGTCACCCTGGCCTTTTTTCAGTTTCTCTCATGTGCCATGCTCTTTCATACCCAGGAACTTGGCATACTCTGTTCTCTGAAATCCCCTCTTCCCCCCAACACTTAAACTGGCTAGCTTCCATTCATCTGAGATTAAATGTTGCTTTCTCAGAGAGCCCTTCCCTGGTCACACAATCTAAATGAGAAAGCCCCTGGCAATCTCCCTTGGGACACCCTGTTCTTTTTCTTCACAGCACATTTGTAGCTGTATATATTTGACTCCCTCACTAAACTGGAAATTCCTTGAGGGCAGAAACTCCCTGTTCACTTTTATAAACCCAATGCCTAGTAGTGTCTAGCACATAGCACTTGCTTAATAAATATTTGCTAAATTGAATGAATGGCAAATACTTATAATCTGGTGTCATGTGCTGGCTAGACAGTCTAAGGGCAGGAACCTAGCTTGTCACTTGCTACCTCTTGGTGCCCCAAGCTTTTTAAAGCGGTCCAAGGAGGTTGATTGGCACAATGCTCTGAAGTAGGTCCTGACCAGAGAGCCCTAACTCTCTTCCCTGTGGCCTGCACCATCCTACCCTTGGCCTAGACAGCTGCATGGCCTAGGCAGGCCAAATGAAGAGGGCCAGGTACCTGGAGGGAGAAGCTGCTTCCTCCTCTGACTCCTCTGGGTCTCCTACCCCAGGCTTATTCCCCACCAAAGCCCATCTACAGGGCCCCCTCTCACACATACACATCACCTTGTTTCTCTCACCCACTGTGAAAACCTTCCTGGCTTGTGCCCTTGCCTCCTCTGCGGCTGCCACCCCTATCACCCACAGACAGATGGGAAATCTCCATCAAAGACTAACACTTCCTTCCAGGCTCCGGATCACAGCAGGGTCCTGGAAGAAGCTCCTCTAACAGAGAGCTCAGGAAAGGATTGATAGGGCTCATAGCTACCCCTCCCCCAACTCACACTCCGACCTAAAATAGGAATGACCATCTGGATCCACTTATAGGGCTGGCTGGGGGAGGGAAGGAGGGCAGAGCTGGAACTGTCAAGCTGGGAAAGCTTGGAGGGTAAGATGTTGCTTGTCTGAAGGGTGAACTCAGGGCACGTTCTCTCGTGGTGGGAGTCAGGACACCTCTCACTTGGCCCCATGTATGAGTCCCCAGGGATCACATACCACCTCCCTCAGGCCATCTCACTCCTCACCCTGGCATTCAAGGCCCCCCTGATCTGGCCCAAGCTCCAACCTTGTTTTCCAGCCTCATCTCTGCCTCCCTTGGGACCTGCTTGGAGTTAACCTCACTGGGATGTCTGCCCATCGGAGAATGGAGCCCTGCACTGCATACCTCATGTCTTTGCTCACACTGTTCCTTCAGCAGCGTGCCCTTCCCCTAGTCTCCTATGCCACTTTCAAGGTTTCTGGCAAATGCTCCCTCTTTGCTCCCAGAGCACGGAGGCTGTTTCTACCTATTGAATATTCATGTGTAGTTGCATTAGCATTAGCTGTTTACATGTCTGTCTCCCCCAAGAGACTGTGAACTCCTTGAGAAGGGAACTGACTCGATCTATTGGTTCCTGGATTTAGTACAGCAATTGGCAGATAGGCAGTGCTCAGGGAATGTCACTGCAGCTATTTGTTGACCATAGATGGCCTCCTTTTAGGCTCTGGGGGAGAATCACCTCAATCAATAATCCAGGGAAGCAGGGCTGAGGCTGGAGGAGCAAAGGCTCAGGTTGGAGGAGCTGCTGGGTGTCATGCAGTGTGTGTGGTGTGTGGGAGGGCAGTGTCCTCTCTTCTGCAGCCTTTCTGCTTCTGTTCCATTCATTACCTTCTCTGGTTCCTGGAGACTGGGATTCTCCCCATGAAGCCCTAGAATGTCTCCTAGGATGGCTCCAAACCTTTCCACGGTGAGGAGGGGATCATTTGAGAACAGACCTTCTGAGGCTTTAGACATCAGCGTTTACAACTTTCTTTTCCATTCTATTTTATAGATGGACAAACATACCCAAGATTATAGAAAGCACAGCTAGGACCAGAATCTAAGTCTCTTACTCCCAGGTAAACAGTAAAGCACCATGGTTAAACATGTGAACTCGAGAGTCAGCCAGCAAGCCCAGTGTTTGAACAACCATACCTTAGGAAAGTGACCCTTCTCAGGGCGTCAGTTTCCTCATCTCTAAAATGGGAAATTCACATCTTGTAAGGTTTTTGTAAGGTTTGATAGGCTATACTTGAACAGTTACTGACCCCAAATAAACACTATTACAGCAGTTAAAACTACACATCATCGTTGTAGGACTCAACTACTTAAAAATCACTTTGATATGCATAATCTCACTATGATTTGGAGCCTCCTTACAATGCAGTGAAGTAACTAGAACAGTATTATAACACCCATTTTACCAGTGAAGAAAATGAGTCCAGAGAGGTTCAGAAACTTTCCTGAGGTCTAAGCATATATTAGAGTTGGGGTTCTGCATCTCAAAGCGGGGCTCTCTCCTGGTTACCTCTTTTAGGGCCATTAAGTGAGTGGATGAGGCCAGCCTGAGATTCTGTAAATCACTATAACATAGGTGCAAACTATGGCCTCATTAGGACCAGAACCGATTTTTGATATATTTTTTAAAAAATGGCTTGGGAGCAGGAAGCAGAACAAGGCCAAACAATAGAATGCCTCATGCCTGCCACTGTGTCCATCAGAATACCTTTCTCCCCTGCCAGACGCAGAGCCTGGCACACAGCAGGGCACTTGATGGCAAATGTATGGGGGAGGAAATACAACATGCAGGGATCTTGCACAACCCCCATATTTGCTATTCCACATCTTCCAGATACTGTGAAGGCTCCAGGAGGGCAGGGACTCATTTGTTGTGTGCATTTTCATTAGGCCTGTGCCAGGCACATAAGAGGAGCTCAAAAAGTATATTAAATAAGAAAATGGTTTTTAAAGAACTGGACAAGAAATCGGAGATTAGGGATCCAGCCTTGGGTTTGCGTCTAATCCACTGGGGTCCTTAGGCAGCCCATCCCTTTCCCGCCCCTCTTTGGAACTCACTGTCCCTATTTGTACAGTGTGGGAATAGGACTCAATCAGTGGTTTCCAGCTCAGTTGGTAATTAGAATGAATCTCGGATGCTTAATGGGTGGACGCCTGCGACCCACCTTAGGCCAATTAAAATAGAATCTCTGGGGTGGAGCATGTAGTTTTTAAAGTATCTTGGGTGATTCTGATGTATAGCCAGAGCTAAGAACCTCCGAGCTAGATGATCCCTTACTGCCTCTTAAGTTCTGCAACCACATTTCAGCATGCTCCCAAGCACAAAGACTGGCAGCAGGCTTCTGGGGCTACACCTGCCCACCGCAAACACAGGGGGCCCAATTCTAATGTCTGTTTTGCTGTACACTCACTGTCTAGGCTTATCTAAGCCCCGGGCTCTCTATCCGAAGAGCTGGTGAGAGCTCTGGATGAGTCACACATGCGGAAGCACATTAAAAATGGAGCACCATGGGTCTTTTTACTGTCTATAGTTTTGCCTTTTCCAGAATGTCATATAGTTGGAGTCATACAGTGTGGCTTGCAGACTGGTTCCTTTCACTAGGCAACATGCATTTAAGTTTTCTCCATGTCTCTGTGGCTTGAGAGCTCCTTTCTTTTTATCATTGAATACTATTCCATTGTATGGCTGTACCACAGTTTATCCATTTACGGTTTGAAGGGCTTACTGGTTGCTTCCAAATTCTGGCAATTATGTATAACGCTGCTGCAAACATTCACGTAGGTTTTTGCGTGGACCCAAGTTGTCAATTCATTTGGGTAAATACTAAGGAGAGCAATTGCTGGATCCTATGGCAAGGCTATATTTCTTTGTAAGAAACTGCCAAACTGTCTTCCAAAGTGGCTGTACCACTTTGCTTCACACCAGCGATGAGTGAGCGTGCCTATTGCTCTTGTTCTTTGGTATTGTCAGACTTTTGGATTCTAGTCATCCTAAAGGCATGTGTAGTGGTATTTCATTGATTTAATTTGTAATTCCCTAATGAAAGAATGCTGAACATTTTTTCATGTTTATTAACCTGTATAGCCTCTTTGGTGAGGTGTCCATTCAGATCTTTTGCCCATTTTAAAAATTGGGTTGTTTTCATATTGTTAATAGTTCTTTATATATTTTGGATGTAAGTCCTTTATTTGATGTATTTTGCAAAATTTTTCTCATTCCTTGACTTGTCTTTTCCATTTTCTTTAACAGTGATTTCCTAGAGCAGTTTTTAATGAAGTCCAACTTAATTTTTCCTTTCATGGATTGTGCTTTTGATGGTGTATCTAGAAACTTATTGCCAAACCCAAGGTCACCTAGATTTCCTCCTTCATTATCTAGAAATTTTACACTTTTTTACATTTAGGTCTGTGGTCCATTTTGAGTAAATTTTTGTGAACAGTGTAAAGTCAGTGTTTAGATCCTTTTTTGCACGTGGATGTCCATTTGTCCCAGTGCTGCTTGTTGAAAAGGCCTCCTCTCTACATGAAACTGACTTTGCTCTCTGGTTAAAGACCAGTTGACCGTATTTGTGTGGGTCTGCTTTGGGGCCCTTATTAACTCCATTGATTGATTTGCCTAACCCTTTGCCAAGGCCACACCATCTTGATTACTGTAGCTTTATGTTAAGTCTTGAGGTTGGATAACATCAATCCTCCAACTTTGTTCTTCTTTGACTTTTTTATTTGTGTTGGCTTTTCTCTGTCTTTTGCATCTCCATATAAACTTAAAATCAGTTTGTGAATATTCACAAAATAAGTTGCTGGGATTTTGATTGGGATTTCACTGAAGCTATACAGACCAAGTTGGGAAGAAATGATATCTTAATAATATTGAGTTTTCCTGTCCATTAGCATGGAATATCTATTCACTTATTTGGATTTTTCTTGATTTCTTTCATCAGCTTTGTAGCTTTCCTTATATAGGTCTTGTATATATTTTGTGAGATTTATTCCTAAGTACTTCTTACTTATTGAGGGGGTGCTGATCAGGGCTGAATAGGTGGCGCACGATGAGTGATTCTGTATGATAATGTAATGGCGGATACATGACATACATCTGTCAAAACTCACGGAACTGTACAATATAAAGGGTGAACCCTAAACTATAGGCTTTAGTTAATAATGTGTCAATAGTGGTTCATTAATTATAACAAATGTACCATACTAATGCAAGATGTTAATAATAGGGGAAACTGAGCCAGGGAGAAAGGAGGTATCTGGGACTCTCTTGTATTATCTGCCTAATTTTCTGTACACTCACAACTGCTCTAAAATAGAGTCTATTACTTTTTTAAAAAGGAGTAACAACTCCAAATGAAAAGGAGGAGCCCCCAGTGAAGTCTTCCAAAGGCTTTCAGGATTAAGCCTACTCCTTCACCAAGCACAGGGAGTCCTTCACAATTCGACTTCCCCTTCAGTCCGTGGGCCACCCCTCCCTCTACAATGCAGCTGAACTGAAGCCCTCAGGCTCCATCAGGGATTCTGGGTCTTTGCACGACTCTCTTGGCCTGAAAGGAACATTGTCTTTCCCTTGCCTGGTCTGCAAATGTTTTGAAAAAGCTTCTGCAGACTTCAGTTTGGGAACACAGAGGAATGATACCAGCCCACAGCACCTGCTTCTGAACACCACCTACTGTGTTTCTGGCAAGACCTCTTTCCTGTCAGTCTCCTGTACTAAGCCGACCATAGCCTGCTGGCCCCAGTTTGGTTTTCAAATGTGCAAAGAGAAAAATAACAAAATTTCTGTAGTGAAACTATTGCTCCCACAGTACTGAACCACAGTTCCCAAATTGTGCATCAAGACACCTTAGGGCGCCCCATCAGACCTACAGGGGGTGCAGCAGGATATTGTAAATTTGAGATATTTGACATCTGTTGGCTGCGGAGAGAACTGCTAGCTCACGGTAGCTCAGTTCCATCATTAGGTTGTGCTACATTCCTCTGATTGTCCTCTCTGAGAAGCTGGGCTTTTAGTGGTTGCTGTGATAAAAAGCAAATAAAAGTCAATGTGCAACAGGAAATGAGGGTGGTGGTTTCCAATCTGATTAGAAAGCTTGACACATTTTTCAGTGCCCAACAAGCACACAGATCCCATTAGTTATTTAAGAAATAAATAAAAATATTATTTCATCTCATTTATATGTAGTATTTTTTAAATGACGACTGACTTGGTAAGACATAAATTCTTATTGATTTAACTACTTAATAAATCAAACTGTTGAGGTATTTCTTTTGGGTTAGAGGCTCCATGAAAAAAAATACACTAATGATGGGGGTAAGTGGTGTGAGCTGAGAAAGTTTGGGAACCTCTGGTCTAAGAAACCCTCTAATCCAGGACACATAAAAAGATCCTGCAGGCTGTGAAATAAATTTAGTGGGTTATAACCAGCATTTTTTCTCCTCAGTAAAATAGAATGGTAGATAGAACACAGTGCATGTAGCAATGGTATTACTGTATAAAATGTATGTTCATTATATACATACAAATAAGCATAGGTATCTTGGGTCACAATGTAACATGTCTATTTCTTGTCTGGGTTCTAATTTAAAAGTTTGAAAAAAACACTAAGACCCCAACCTCCTTATTTTACAGGTGAGAAAACAGCCCAGAGAGTGAAAGCTGATTACTGCAAATCACAGCCACCTGTGAGTGCTGAGTGCTGGGCTTGGGGACTCAGCCCTGCGAGGCTGGGTAGCCACTGCTCACAGGGTCCTTCCCAAGGCATGCCTCATTTTGCCTGGTAGAGGCGTAATTACTCAAAGTCACAGATTTACAGAGGTGAGAGATCAGGTACCCTCACTTTGGTCCCAAGACCCCATTTGCACCCCACAAATGCCACTAGCCACACCTAGAACAAAACGGTTTTAATCAATTGCGTCACCCTCACTCTCCTGGGAGCGGAGCAACAAAAAGGCTCGGCTCCTGCCCCCAGAGGACAGTAAGGCTTATGTGTCTCTCCACACTGCAGGGCCAGGGCTGGACAG